GTACAGGCATTGGTAAGTGTGTCCTCATTTCCCGAACAACTTATAGTCTAAACAGTTACTTAGAAGCTCTGGAGGCAGAGGCTCATGGTTCTAATGCCCTTCTGTTAACACGACTAACGCTACCCTGGAATGTCCTCCCTCTAGGTGTCTGCACGGCTCACTTTTTTCTTCAACCAGGTTTCACTTGAAGATGGGCCTTCTCTAACCCCTGTGCCCAGACAGCTCTCTTTGTCATTTGCTATCCTCTTACCCTGAGTTATTTTTCTTCATTCCACATGTGTTCACCTGATTTATTCTATATTTATTAACTGTTAACTCAGCCAGCTAAAATGTAAACCACATTAGGTCATGAGCTTCTTTGTGTTCTGTAACATATTTCCCATGCCTTCAACAATGTCTATCATAGAGAAGAGCTCAAAAAATAATTGTAAACGGGACCCGCAGGTGGCGTGGTGGTTAAGGGCGCTGGACTCCCACATGGCTGATCGCGGTTCAAGTCCTGGACCTGGTGGCTTGCTTTTTCACTTTCTTTCACTCACTCTCTCTTTCTCTCTCCCCCTTTCTCTCTCTCTCTCTGTCTGTCTCTGTCTGGTCAAAATAATAATAGTAATAAAAACTAATAATAACAAATCGAAATAAATAAACAATTCTTTAAAAAAATAATTGTGAGCAAATAAATGGGTGAATGGATGGATGAGGACTAGTTAGCAGACAGACTTGCCTTCTGGCCATATACGTGGTCCTTGGGATTTCATCTCTCCATTAGAAGTTGTTGCCATTCTGACTATTCTGTTAACACCAGTTAGGTTGGCTGACTTTACCATGCGTCCTATATGAGAGGGAACTGTCTAAAATTCAACACCTAATTTCTCAAGATTGTATACAATTAAACTGACTGCTGGAAACTCAGCTGCTTACCTTCACCATTCCCCCTTCACACTTGCCTTTCTTCCTTACCTGCTTTTTCTGATGTTGGCCAAATGCCAGAACCTAAGATGAGACTCAGAAAATTGAGCCCCTACCATGACTCCATATAAGAACTGAGGTTTTCACTAACTAAGGTGATCAGAGCCCTTTCTGAGCAATATGTAACCAATCTAGACAGAAAGCCCAACTTTAATAGTCTATGTGTTTCAGCAGTATTATAGCAGTCCATGTTTAAAATTACTTCCTTGAATAGGTTAGAAAAGAAAGATATAAGAATACTAAGTACAAGAAGTTTCACAGACCAGATTGTATTCACAGATGCATTTTGGGGAAATGGGTACAAGAATTGGATGAAGTGTCTTTTTTCTGTATTGCTTTAAGAGTTGGAGGAAGAATCTTATTGAAGCATAAATACTGAAATAATGAATTGTAACTGGATGCATGGAATGGTTGTTGAGAGAGCCTGGTGACATGGGGTCGGACAGTATAACTGCTGAAGAGGAAACCTTTTCTTAGGTGGCTTTGTAAATTTCTGACCCTGCCAAAAGGGCAGGGGATCACAAATGTCTCATAACTAGAACTTATCAAGTTCTCAATAGTACGATACCAGAAGAAAACCAACCAGCCAGTAACAGGGAAGCCCAAGAAATACAATTTTTGCGATCTATTGATTCATCTCCATAAGAGAAATAATTTTTGTAAGTTCTTCAGAGTGTTTTCATGCCTTTTCGAATCAGTAAAATAGTTTTGTTTAAAGCAATGTTCTGTTTATATCCTGGTATAGAGTGCTGCAAGATATACTATTAAATGAAACAAATACAAGGTGGATTAAAGCATGTATAGAATGCTATAATTTATCTAAGAAAATATATGCAACGCTTATGCAATAAGACAAGAAAAAAATATAAAGATTGAAAAGGAAGAAATAAAACTATTTATTTGCATATGACATGATTGCATATATTGAAAAGCTATCAGAATCTCTAAATAAGCTACTAGAATTGGTAAGGAAATGTAGTCAAGTCACAGACAAAGAATCAGTATACAAAAACATTTTGGTGTTTTGTACCAATAAGCACATGAAAGGTACTCAACATCATTAGCCATTTAAAAAATGCAATTTTGTTGCCTTTTTGCAAGAAAAAAACACAATATGGTAATATTATACACCCACCGCAATGACTAAAATGAATAAGATCATCAAATACCAAGTGCTGACAAAGATAAGGAGCCACAGGAATTATCATCACTGCTAGTAGAAACGTAAAATGGTATAACCGTGCCAATAGATTTAAGTGGACATTTTCCTTTTGACTGGCAGTGTGCTATAGTGTTTTAATAGTTGACGCTATGGGGTGAAGGAGAGGGAAGTTCTGAAGTGTGGCATCTGCCAATTCCCGTTGCATACATAGTCCGACCATGGCTGATTTCAAGTTACCAATGTGAAGTTACCCAAGTAGAGAAGGGAAGAGATGTACATAATGGCCCCAGCTGCACAAAACAGCGCCTGAATACAACTGCCAGCAGCCCTGCTCCTAAGCACATGCCAAAAGGGGAAGTAATGCATATATCCACAGAAAGATGACTTGTATGAGAATGTTCATAGCAGTTTTATTTACAATAAATGAAAAAGAGAAACAATTCTGGAGTCTACCAATAGTTGAAAGGAGAAACAAATTGTGGTATGTTCATTCGATGGACTCCTACTCAGCAATATAAATAAGAACTACTGGAGGGCTGGACAGTGACTCGAGGGTAAACTGATGCTCTGTAAGACAGAGGTAGGCGGGAAGTTTGCTGCTCATGTCTGGAGACCTCCTTGAGCACC